TAGGGTAGGGTAGGTTAGGGTAGGTTAGGTTAGGTTAGGTTAGGTTAGGTTAGGTTAGGTTAGGTTAGGTTAGGTTACCCCCTGCCGAGCACCCCCCCAACCCCCACAACCCCGCCCTTCCTCCCTCCGCCATACCCCCTAGCTCCGACTACGCTATTTTTCTTCATTGCCTAGTCTTCCATGAAAGGAGCACAAGCGGACCATTTGCGGGGTCGGTGGCAGCGACGTCAGCCCTTCAATAAAAATCACGAATACATGTCTGTAAACAAAAAACGCCATGGCCGCTGTAGCCCATGTTCTCCTGTGCACCGTGCCTCGTGCTCGCCATTTTCAGCATTGCAACAGTGTTCAAGGCCTGTGGGCGCGCCATCCTGTCCTCTTTCTGGGAAATCTCTGTCACCACGGCTCTGGCATTGTCTTGAATCAGGTTCATGAACATACTGGCTATGGGCATATCAAAGACCTGTCCACGATCCCACTGCAAATCCAGGTCTCTGCCGGCCTTCAAGATTGCAACATCAATCGTGTAGTAGCTTTCTGGCTGGAAGGAATTGATTTCGTCACTGCGTCGAACGCAAAACCAAAGAGTCGGCGTCTGGCACGGACCATATGAGACCAGATTGGTGTCAAGATCGCCGTACTTGCCTTGGAAATACTTGGTCTGGAAACGGGTGAAGGCGCAACCGAGCTTCAAATCCATCTCCTCGGCACAGCACCACGACGGACCCCGACCAAGCTGAAAAGTGGACTAGCCGGGCTGCCAGGAAACACTCAGAACAGCCATCAAAGACACTTTTCAGTATCGGGACCTTTAAATGCCGAGTTTCCGCGCGAGCATCGACTGAGTCTGACATGTCTTTGTTTGGAGACCCCAGGCTCGCCATTGCCCGTTTAAGGTCCACAGGAGCCAATGACGAGAACTGAGCTCGCCAAACTTGCTGCTGGCCACCGGCAGAAGACAAATATGGCACGGCATTTTCCATCACCTGAGCCAGGAAGCGGCTTATACATGGAGTCCGGCATTCCAAATCCCCAACCTCAAAGCAGATGTTCTCCCCTTCTCGATCGCAGTCCAACCACAGCACCAGGTATGCACACCCTTTCGCCTGACGGGCAGAATTGGCTGTTCACTGACTTGGCTCTTCGGGTCTGCGATACAGGTGCTACCGTAGAGTGGCGCCAGGATTGGCTCACGATACTTCTAGACTTCAGGTCGATGTGACGCAGAGACAGTGGCATTGAAAACCGAGAAAGAGCTGGTGGCTTTAACTTTCGAAACTTGGGTTTCGAGCGATGTTGATTCTTCTGTTTTCTTGCGGTAGCTAAGAACAAGCGAGCAGCCTCCGTCTGGAAGTGCTTCGGCATCCTGCAGCAAGTTGAAGAAGACCAAGTAAGCTTAAGCTATCCATTTGCCGCTGCCTGCTTTTCCTGCACAAGATGCAGTCAGTCCTCAATTTGGGATTCGCTTCCATCTTGACAGTTGGAGCACCAAAAAGGGTCAAAGGATCCACCCTGTCCCAGTTGTTGTATTCTGGTGGAAAATCAATGGAATACACATGACCTCAACCGACGAAGAGCCAAATCGCAGGCAATTGGGCAAGTGTATTTATTTCACGGCTTGGCTCTTCGATGCTCTTAGGCTGCTGCCGGCACAGCTTGTGACTTTGAACCAAGCACGCTGTCCGTAGAAGTCGCCCTCGTACTCAAAGACTTTGCAGGCCGGTGACACCTCAAGACATGAAAGGCTGACGAATCTGCACTTCACAAATCTTCACAAAGACAAACAAAGAGAGCAATCTCTCAAGGAACCTCAAGACACTTGATCGAGCAAGGCCCCAACACCCCCGACTCGCCGTTGGAACTGCCCGTGGACTACTCCCAAATCTGCACGCGCACACTCAACATCTGGAAGTAACCCCTGGCACTTCCCAAGGGCGAGAAGCAGGGCCTCTCTGCAACACCAAAGGCTCTGAAAACATGCAGTTTGCAACTCGCGTCATTCCTTTAGGCACGGTATCTCTGCCAAGACACCCCTGTGCGAGTGGTGTATTTATGGCCAGGTGAAAGCGCATCGGCCAGCGTCTGTGCGATGGAGGGCTTCTCAGCGACCATTAAAACCTCGGAAGCGGAAGCGGAAGCTTTCATCAAGTAGCAAAGATTAGCTGTACAGCTTGCAGCAGCTTGCAGCAGCTTGCAGCAGCTGGCTGCCCAGCGACAGTCGCCACCATGACGATCACAGGATCTTCCGCCTCGTCCTCGTCTAGTGCTCAACCCATTGTCATTGTCACATTTTGAGCCAAAGTGTCTGCCGCGAAACGCTCAGACGCAGCTCCACCGGTGGACATCCGACCGTTGCGTGCAAACCTTCCGACTAACCCGATAACGCAGACAAGACGAAACAAAGCCCAACGAGAAGACTTCCCTGTGAGCCCGCAATCCTGCCAGCTTAAACCCACCGGTCAGTTTGGACTTTGAGGCCGGTCGAGGCTGCGAGGAGAACAGTGGGAATAATAAGGCCTGTGCTTCTTTTGCAGTGCCCTAACTAACTCTTGTACAGCTGCAACACTGCCACTTGCTGCACCATGCGAAACTCGGGCATTATCCAGTCAGGTGGTGCCTGGTGAACTGTCCAACCTCCGAGTCGTGAGACGCTGTCATGAAAGCGTTGCAGCTCGCCGGTGCGGTCTTTGAGTGCCAAGAGGACTGTTGTGTCAGCATTTGCGAGTGCGGACAGTAGAGAAATCAGAGTTTGATCTGCAGGGGGCATCTGAACGTTTGAATCCACGCACTTTCTGCCAGCATTGCCAGGGTACACCAAATCGCTTCCAACGATGGCACCCCAGGGTCCTGCCGCCTGAATCTTGGCAAGATCTTCAGCAGAATTCCAGTCGAATTGCTCAACAACTACACGGCCTGGGAAAGGCATTGCCGACTTGATATTGGCCTCTGCACCATCAAGGACTCGCGGGTTTCCATCTGTTGCACATACGTCTGCACCCTCTAAAGCAAGAGCAATAGCCACGAGACCAGTTCCTGCCCCCAATTCTAAAACACGTTTGCCCTGCCACGCAAATTGCTGGGAATTACGTGCCACGAAGTCAGCTAGAACAATAGCTGCCTCCCAAAGCACTCCTCCCGTCCCAATTCGCTCTTGTTCTCGGCGCTGGTGCTGACGAATAACAATGTCGCGGCCAGAGTATCCAAATGGCAGGCGGATGGTTCGTGTTGGCAGAAGCACAGGCAAATGCTTCGCCAAAGCATGAGAAAACAGCACCACTTCGGTGTATGGGTTGGGGGGCGGTGGAGGATTGAAGTCTGAAAGGTCTCCTTGCCACTCTCCTCGACAATAAGGTTCCCCCAAAGCACGGCTCTCGATTTCGGTTGCTGCACAAGAAATTTTGCCATGTGCATCCACTCGAACCGTTACTTCAAGCTGCAAGAAAGACCGATAAGATGGAATTGGCAAAGGTGCCAACTCCAGCATGCCCAGAAAGCGATTGCCCTCACAAAAAGGTCTTTCGCCGACATAAAGCTCAACTCGTGCTGCTGCTTGATCGTCCTGGGTTGTTGTGAAGACTCTTCTGCCCTCTGCAGGAAGCTCGCTGCCTCGATCTAGCATCTGCTCGCATACCCCGTCTCGGGTTTTCACACGAATTGACAACAAAAGGCTTTGCGGACCTGGGCCTGGAGCTGGAATATCTTCCAGCGTCCCTTCAGGTGGCAAGATGGCAAGAAGCTGTTCGGATGCATTCCGCAAATCCTGTTCAGCACCGGCACACTGAAAGGCCATGAGACCGATCCAGACCACAGATCGATGCCAGTGCCCAGGTCCATTACACATACACTTCAATTGTGCATGCTTTTCGTGCCGTACACAAGGCCCAACCCAATGGGATCGTTAACGATAGATTAACGATAGACTGAATATCTTACTCAACAAAAATCCATGCAGAAACATGTCGTTGTCACAAAAACTGGACCGGCCTTCACGACGCCTACGAACACGAAAGCATGAACTGTAATCCCTAGTCTAGGAGCTTTGAAGCCGTGAGCTTGTGGGAATTACAAGCACTGAGAGCAAGGCATGGATGACGGGGATAGCATGAGACATGTCGACCATCTGACAACCATCGACAACACGCAGCTGTGACGCACGATGAGACACCACGCACGAAATAGACTTGGAAGACACTGGAACACAGGTGGGCTGCTTCCTAGAAAGAACCTCTTTCCCATCCTCCAATTCTACCACAGATAGCAACGAAAGACTCGTTACGCTAGCTTTCGTGAATTCGACATCAGCAGTTTTGACACTGCTTCGCGTGAGGCTCCGAGGATGGAGCACACAATCAAACTAAATGGTTCTGTTTGAAGCCAAGACATCCCAAGACTCACTGTACAAGATGTCGGGCTGAAAGCTTTCGATGTGCGGACAGGAGCGCAAGAGAAAAGCGATAACATTTCGAAGCCATTGCTTCCAATTCTGGCACTAGTTTCACTAGTTTCTGGAGCAGCAGATTGCACCTATAGTTCTGCACAAGCGTTGCAATTTTGGTCTTCACTGCAATCCCGGATCTTGAGACATGGTGTCGATCAGGCTTCAGCCCGGAAGAAAACCGAATCCTTCAACTCTGGAAGAACGAACTCCTGCACTACACTTGTACGACAGAGTTTCCTGGTCGCTAGTTCCGACATTTGAGACATAGAAATAGCAGGTGGGAAGTTCATCTTCGAAAAGAGCCATTTGCAAGAAGGGCGACTTCAGGAAACACACCTGTTGAAGAGCCGTTTGATGAAGATCACGTCTCTACCAACGTGTGCCGCATCGGCCTCACTGCTTGTCGTTTTGCTCGGCTTAAGTTAAATCGATTTCTACAGCACAACCTATTCCAAAACGCAAAACTCGGTTTGAGCCGAAAATAAGCTCGAAATTCCAAAACTCCAATTCTTGAACACAGTTTTCGTCAAGCTTGGCGTTCAGCGTGTCACATTCAGTCCCTGATCCCTCTTTGGCATTGAGCTTGCCGAGGCAGTCAACAAACAACGAAGGCAAACCAAGTGATGGCAGCTGCTATTTCAGACACACTTGCGATGCCACTGCCACTTTGTGCAGGTTCGGCAGTTTGCAAATTCCGCTTCATGGTTCGAGCAACGGCCTGGCGGCGCACTTCGCTCGAGAAGCAACATGGTTTCGCAAACTGCGCACTGACGCGCTGTCGCCAATCAAAGCTGGCAAGGTAAGAAGCCGGCCTGCTGCCTGTATCTTCGGGTGCTACCCCGGACCTGGAACAGACTGCTTGCCCGCCATACCCTCGACAGGCGATTTGCAATCCGTCCTGCACATGCCTTTCAGTAAGACATCCTAGGAACTAGGATGAGGCCTCACGCCCTGGAATCTTAGAGTTGCACGCCGTAATGTCAGCCAGCTTTGCGCAGCACAGGGGGCCTCCAAAGCATAGGCAGGACTGCCCTGCGTGCATTCCCCATCAGTACACTACGTGCTTTTGTCCAACGCTCCATGAGACCTCCTTTGCATGGCCTCATACATGAGGATGTGTCTTGTCGATTGAAGGCATCTTCGGAGCTTCAGCAACAGAGTTCCCCAACAAAACACATTCATGTGCAGTTGGGTGCAGATAAGACATGGCTTGCTGGTGCACGACGAGCAATCAGAAGCCGACGAGATCGAACCTGCAGCGGACCTGAAGGAAGCGCCCCGCCAGCGAAGGAAGATGCCTCTGAATCAGTAGTCTAACACCAGCACAGGCAACTGAATGCATGACTCATCGACTATGGTTTGGCCGTACATGTTCTCAGATTTTCTTGCTGCTGCTCCACTCGGAAGTACGTCGAACAACATCTGGCGCCTTCGGTGTCAACTGCCAGCGACCTTACACATGCTTTTACATTGCCGAGATCAGCCTCGTTTGCTGGGACAGTCGGCCTGGGTGCGTTCGTCTGCCCAGACCGTTGGTCCAGGTGACCTGATGTCCCACGGTCATGTCCCCGGACGGCAACAAAAATGACAGAGGCAGTCCCTCTGAAGGTGTGCACTCTGCATGTCGTCTCCCCGCATGTACGGCATGCTGGGCCCCAGGCCGACTCTGGAGACAATCGCTTTCCTGAACAAGGGCAACTTGCAGTCCGCACACCAGGATTGTGAGGCTCGCCCAGTGGCCCGTCCGAAACACAGTCCGATGCGTGGCTGACGGAATAAGGTGGGCGGCCGATTTCCAATAAAACAAGCAGAAAGGATGTAAACCGGTGCTAACTTGCCAGACCTAAGTTCAAAAGTCTTCCACTTCCGAAGCATTCCGAAACTCTTCATAACTTGCTTCTGGCTACTCTGGAACATTGTGGATTGCTGTGTGGAATCTTCGGGGCTCTGCATTGATGGACCCTCGCACTGCGAGCATCGTCTCTAGGAAATCACAACGAAAACCTTGGCTCAAAGACAAATTGCTGCGCCGAGGGGAACATCCGCTGGTGCTCTCCTGACCACAGACTGCACGAAGAGGTGGCCGCTGTAGACCTCTCAAACTCACTCGGGATCTCTAAACACTGTCAAGAATGCACCTGGCCTGGATGACCTCGCAAGACCTGAGCACTAGCATATCCCATCAACGATGAGGAAAATTGTATCGAGAGGATACAATCGGCTGCAGGCCTCCATGACCGTCTTGCCAGCACTCCGGAGCTGCGGGACCAAACTGCGGCAATAGCACCCTCTACTCTTTGCCAACGCATTCCCTGCTTGTGTGAGCTGAATAAAGCCTGTTGTCGAGCGGCCTTCATCTCGTTCTGGTCTATGTGACAACTGTTGTCAGTGTTGCACTCCTTCGGCTAGACAGACATATACAGACATCACAAACCTGGGCATGTGCGAACTGCGCGTTTACAGGAATGCATCAGAGGGACTTGACGACACTGACGCTGGATGTGCGAACAGCTCTGACCTCAGCAAGGCAGAACAACGGCAGTGCCAGCCGTTGATGGAGGGGGACAAGGACCCCTGTCCTACTGTCAACTGCAGATGCGAATACTTGACAAAAATCTTTCCACTGATGCTTCTCAGGATCTGACCCATGCTCCCACACGATGTGTGTGGATGAGTCTGAAGCTGCCCAGTTACCGCACGAGAATCTGGAGGAATTTACAGCTGCCACAGCTCTACGACTCTATGGTGTGCCACCGCATGATTCGCACGATGTACCTACATCCTCTGAAGCCTCCTGAAGCTGGGAGCACAGGACGGAGCCCGAAGTTGGACCGAAGCGTCGAAGGCCCCACAAGCAGGTTCACCCATTCTGCAGAAATCACTTCTACTCAGATTCTACTCCTTTTCTAAAGATTGGAGCTGGGCGACCGAGTTGGAGTTTGCGCTCGCCGCGCACTTAGTCGACTTGCTGCCATCGTTGTGGCTGCAGCTCCATCCATGGAGACATCTGAAAATTTGAAGAGCTCAGCACTTGGCCCTTGCATTCCAAATCCATACGCATTTCGACACGACTAAGGTGAGAAACGCAGCACTACACCTGCCCAGACTCTGCGCTTCAGCCCTGCAAGCCTGCTGAAACATAGCTGGCTGCAATGTAAGCTGACTCGCTCTTTGAAAGCCACGAAGCTGGTGCGAACACCTTCAAAAATCACTGGGCAATGCCAAAAATAGCAGAGGTAGCCAAGGCATGTTTGCAACTATAGCCGGAGCATCAATCTGATTACAACATGATTCACCGAATCTTATTTGAATTACTAATCAGGCTGTTTACTCTGCCGGAAAACTCAGTTATCCCGGACTCTCCTGCGTCCACCCATGGGCCTAAGCAGACCACCATTCACCGCCCACAAAATTCCTCAAAACGTGGAGTTTCTCGGCAACCCACGTGTCTTCCGGCTTGGTGGTCTACTGTCGTCTCGGCAAGTTCAAAAGCCGGTCTAAAGCCATCATGCTGCGGCTGGAGAAATCTGTGGGCGTTACAATGCGTTCTGTGCCAGGAGAAAGCATTCCGACACATTGATTCATAACCGCATACAGCCAACGTAAGTTTGACTGGCTATTCACAACAAGCAATCGACTGATCGCAGTTTGGCACAGCATTGCTGTACACTGCAATATGAAAAAATATTCTATCTGCCAGCACGCGCTGGCACAAGGGTTTGATCTCTATTCAGACTCGGCCTCCGACTCACTCTCAATTGCCTGCTGGCGCTTGTGGTCAGGGACTGAACCGAAACAACAATCCCAAGAAGTGCAGCCGTCCCTTCAGCCCAAAGGTCCTCGCAAAGCTGAGCAAGATCGCCATCACTCCACGAGCGGTGCATAGACACTTGAGGAATATCTTCGTCGATTCGGACGGCCTCTCACAGGTCTCACATTTGCCAAACGCTTTCACTAGCAAGCAGAAATCAGTCCCTGGCAAATCTAACGAAAACAGCAGCTACGATCGACCTCCCTTCAGACTCAGCTTTTTGTGCGGCTGTTGATGCAAGCGTTGGATAGCAGGGCACGGGATGCGGAGACCGGGACCAGCCGCACTGACGTCTAGGTCATGGCGTTTGGAAGGCAACTTCGGCACTCAAGATTGCCCTGGTCAGGTTTGAATACAGGAACCCAGTTGGGCATCGGCAACAGCAACCTGCGGCAACTTACATCCCTAGCACCGCTGCCCGGCCCCTGTTCTGTGCGCTCGGGGGTCGAGGGTAGTCCTTTGAGTGCCGGCCAAACGTGCCGTCGGCGGCGACACCATCAGCAATGATAGCTAGCACGATGATGATGGTGGTGATGATGATGATGATTATGGTTCATGTTTTCCAAAGAGCAGAGATGAGCACAGACTGAGCATGTTGTGAATGGCCAAGAGTATTAATGTCGAATACGGCTGCTCCGTGTCCGTTGATGGTATCATTAATGCATGCACCTTTATTTACGATTCTAAGACAGTCGGCCTCAGGTCTGCCCGTCCTACGAATGTGTACTGGTCCTGGGTGAGGCCATAATCCAAAGGTGCTTGATTCATTGGGTTTGCAGTTTGCAGTGCTGGAATGGAGAAAGGCGAAGATGAGATTGTT